GTCATCTGTGCTCGTTTGCTGTTTAACAACTCTATCCAAGGGTGTGTGTGTGTGCGTGTGCGGATTCGAATACGGCGCACCTTCTTGCTCAGGACTAAAAATGGGTCGATTTGTCAAATCGATAGTACTGAGTGTTTTTTTTCACGCAGAAATGACACGGACAAAGTTGCACGGACTAGGAACATCAACTCAAATTGCACCCGAGCCTGCACGACTCGTTTGTGTGAAGATCTCATTGTTACCAACTTTCATGTATCACCATATCCGTCCAATGTGATTCGGCATGCAGTCACCGGAACTAGTAATTACACTGTACGTATTTCATTCTGTGCTTCACATTAGAGCCACTGACAGAGCTGAGCATATGCACTTGGGAGTTGCAATTTTGTCCATTTCTCGAGTCAACAATTAGCTGTGGATTCGGTTCATATACTAGCACTTTCAGCCACGAGAGTCAATACCACTCATTCCGTTCGCGTGTCAATATTGTGTGAGAGAGAGAGAAAGAGAGAGAGAGATAATCAACTTGACACCCACAGAACAAAATCATACCGTCCAGATTCGTACAGTCGGATTGAATTGAGAACGTTTCCCCCTCTCCCGGAGTGGTGTGCAATTCGACTAGTTCCACGAGTGTGCATCACTCATTCCGCTACTGTTTCTATGCGATCACACTCAGGACCGTAGAAACTGTTCAACTGATTGTCATGGGGACTGATCGCAATTCTCTTTGCCTGATCGGAATCCCTAGACAGTTGTGTATTACATCACGTTCATTATCCGTCGACCACGGCGGATCAAATTCAAGCCACGAAGGGAATGAATACAGGGAAAATCGGACGATGTGAATCGCACGCAATGGTGATCCATGAGCGTGAGTTCATACCGTGTTTCCTCTGGGATTGCCGAAGTGTGTGTGTGTGTGTGTGTGTGTGTGTGTGCGCGCATTCCTTATGGGCTCAGTTACGTGTTTGATCACGTTCTATCATTACGCNACGCGCGTCACGAGGAACCGTAAAACCGCGACAGTTTTGTGGGATCGTGTATGTATGATCCGTTATACAGATCATAGTCACGGGAATTGAGTCCATTTTTTCCCTCCGAATATTTCTTTGAAACCCCGTTATGCTGTAATGAATTCGACGATGATGTTACCGATGTCATACAGGAGTTTGGATATTATAATTACATGGCTTACATGAGTGATAAGCAGTTTCACAGTATTTAACCGTTTTAATACGCGAATCCAGCAAGCCCAGCCAACTATCCACTTACACATGCAAACTACCGATCACGTTTTGTACAATTCTGTTACTGATGCAATCGATAATGCAGTATGTTACACTTGCTTCCGCTTATTTGTGCGTGCATGTGTTTGTTCTCGACCGAATTCCATTCGACCCCGGTCGCATTCATGAGCGGTCCTCCGGAGGGGCTCATTTGGCTCACAGTTTCTATCCTGTTGTTTTATTCACTTGGATCGAGAACTTACTATGCGCGTACACATAGTTCAAACAACAGATTGTCAAATGTCTGATTGCAAGCTGAGATGTGCTAAGAACAACACATTTGCTCTAAAAGCGCTGTGTCCCCACCCTGCCAGTGGTGTCAATCCTACCTCACTGTGGATCGAAATGAAGCGAAATGGTCTGTGGCCATGGCAAGTCTGATACACATGAACATAATCATGTTCCCGAACGAGACGCAGAGAGAGAGAGAGGAATGCTATTCAATTTCCTATTATGGTGTTCCTGTTACACTAAATCCATATGAAATCAACTTTCTCAGGCCCGTTTGAAGGCGTAAAATCGGAGCTTAGAACCATATTCGTTTGACCTTAACATCAACTTGTAAATGCTCTCTCATTAGTGTTGACTGAAGAAATACGTATAGTATGACCATACTTGTTCATTTATCCATTTTAATCATAATAATAATACTAGTATGTACAGTGATCGCCCCTCCCCCGCCTGTAGTCGGAGTTAGGCTTCGTAGACCCTTGTGATAGATAACAATAGGTGAATTAGTTGTAATCCGTTGATTTTATTATTTACATACATTTTAACATTGTTTCCATCATTTTCACACTTCCATAAACGTTTCTGATCCTCTCATGCACACATTTTCATTCGCACAGTGACACTTTCTGCACTCGCTCACAAACAAACAATTTCAACAACACACAAAATCTTGTACGCGCATTCAGCAGGAAAGTATATAACAATGTGAATGGGATAGCCAGTGTAGTACTGATGATGATGATGATGATGATGACGATGATGATGATGATGATGATGATGATGATGACTCGGATGATGATGATGATGATGATGATGATGATGACTCGGATGATGATGATGATGATGGGAATTCAAATGATGCAGTGAATTTCTCGCTTATCCAAGCAGGGCTTGATAGCGGTTGTGACGGAACCACTTCGTTGTCGTCGGATGATGCGTCGTCTTCGACCAAGCAACTATTTTTCATCTAAGTAATAAGCTGGTACGGTTGCCTGTATTAACATTTGTATTTGTTCGTTGATAAACTACATTCCGTATTTTATTCCAACCTAAGCTCCCTTGAATTTGTTCGAAATTTTTAGGGAAACATATTTGAAATTTGAAATGTTGGATACACCACAAAAAGAACCGGGTGATATAGCGTAAGTTCCCCCAAAATAAAACTGGATATTGTTTGAGGCGAATTGTGATACAGAGAATTGGCCATAATTAAATTGTCCCTTTAAGGAAAGGAACAACTGTACTTTCATAGTTTATGAGAAGCCGGTCATACGTTATTCGGAACACCATTTCAGCCGATCAGTCTTCTACATTTAGGATACTGCGGGGGTCTCTTCTTATGTTTCGGATAGAACAGGATCTCGAACAGTTTGACATTTGTCTGTTCTCGGTACCATCCTCGCCACTGTTGCCCTCCTCACAAGGTGTACTCTATTTTATCCCGTTTTCTATTTTTTCGCTTACATTTTCTCTGTGTCTACGAACAATTCTTCCCTTCGTGTTAAGTATGCAGACAATATAATATTCGGAATGTCCTGCCTCGACTCTGATCTACAAGAAAACATGTCAGAAGTAATTGAATGATCTCAACAAAAGAACCTCCGCACGAATCCGGAAAACTGTAAAGACGTAATTCTTTTCTTTTTTGAAAGGGCAAAAGTATGATGAATGGTCAAATACCAGCCCGCCTTTATTTGACTTCAGTGATCAGATGGATCGACAATCGTCTGTCAAATAACTTGGCGTTATTTTCAATCGTAACCTTACCTGGTCTGACCATATCAATGACGTTTTTCTGAAGGTCAGGAGGCTTACTTTCTAACCCAAACCATCTCATAAGGTGTTTTGTTTTAACTTTGCTTTTTTGATTCCCTTCCAGATTTTTTTCGAACAAGGACCTCAAACTTATTTCCCGATCCCTCAAATTTCTGTCGGTTTGTATGTAGTCTCATACCACGGGAACATCTGGTACAGTATGTGGTGGCACATCACATCACGTCCTGTAAAACATTCGCCAACAAGATTTTATCTGATATTTCCCATCCTCTTTATTCCGCCCTTAGTCGGTGCCTTTCTCACACCGATCCACCCATTCCACTCACAAACTTATATAGACATACACTGAAGCTTACAGGTGGTCTATTGTGCCGTATCTCGCCAGATTTCTAACAAACCATGAACTCGTTGCAGAAAATCTGCGCAAAATGCCAAACTAAACCAATCATAACTATCCTGGTATGCCATTAGTTGTTTTGATGTTACTGGGCATTTCAATCGTTTCAATTGATGTATTAAATTTCGCTTTTTTTAATTGTTGACACTATGGTTATGTGGTTGATGAAAATCCACCCTTCAAAGGTGTGTGAGGTGATTCCTTGACTTGATTAGTCGGGCTGTGGATCCATCTCAACTGACTACGTATCAATGGCACTGAAACATTCCGGAATATGAACACAGTTTGGCAAGACTAAGTGGATGAATGTGCAATTGTCGAACCTACGCATGGTCACGTGATGACGTGAATATGTCTGGCTGAGGTGAGGTGCATTCTGCAATAGTAATCCGCACAGAATCGTACACGATGGGAGGGGGGTGCACAAACGACATAAGTTCCCGCTCAGATCAGTTTAAATCCAAACTTATTGAGTCCAGTGCTACAGTTTATCCATTTTATCCTGAAGTCAATGGATACCTAAACACACACACACACACACACTTGATCCATGGTAGTTTGTTCCGAAATAGATGAATCTCCGATTCTCGTGCATTTTGAGCTAAGATCTGTGGTGTTTAGTTGTTGGGCTTGTTGATCGGCATTCACTTGGTTCGAGACCGATAAACACGGACGAAAATGAGCATTTTCAATAAGCAATGTTATACTGAGCCCCATCCATCCATCCATCCATTTACTCGCGTGAGTGAAACATGGAATAGCTCCGGTGATGTGTTAGTTACTGCTTCTTCTATGAACTTTGAGTCACTGAGTCCCCGTTATCCACTTCATTAATACAGGAAGATGACAAATCTTGCGAGATTTCGTTTAATCTTCTTACTTAAAACAAACAGGCACATACATATAGCACATGGAATTGATTAACGTGTACAAGGATACAAAGCCCTTTGTCTAAGCATAATGACAGTATTCTGAATAGATTTTCCCTTTTTTGTTTTAGTTCGCAATAGTCACATCTAAGTCCGGGGATAAACTGGCGGGAAACACCGTTTCGAATGCATCTGTGTGGTACTTACCAGTCACAATCCTACAGCAAACCGGAATGAGCGTTAAAAAAAAACAAGTAAAATCCGCTTACAACATCCTGAGAGCAAGTTGGTTAAAATCAGTCGATAACCACGTGAATCAAATGTTATCGCATGGGATCAGTTTTGTGCACATGAGGAGACAGATCGGGGTAGTGTGTCTATTCTATTCAACAGTAATTCTGCTCACCAACACCCAACTTGATGTTATTATCCATGTTAACCTTGGGGACCCTGTCTTTCGATCACTTTTGCTTGATGGACGATTGTGGCGGAGACAATTTCTTCGTGGCTTCCCTGTATATTCAATACGAGTTTGACAAGATAGTTTACCGTCTGCTAATCGAATCTGTCCATGCAGTAGAAAAAGATTGCTGCAACGAGAGAGCATTTTTCTAATAGATTGAATACTGACCGGTTACGTCGACTTGAATCATTTGTTGTAAGGCACGTTTTACGTGTTGCATCATCACTTGATTTCTTGTTTTATGGATAAAATGAAACAAGCTAAGGTCTGGTCGTGACGAGACTGGCATGCGAGTCTATCCACTATGGATTCCACCTCTCTGTCATTTGAAACACAGTTCTCACGTGATTATTTCGGACGTGCCGTGGATGATGCAACTATCAGAGTGTCTTATTATTATTATATTATATTATTATTATATATTTTATTTTCACCGTTTGTTTTTCGATTCCCATGATACCCTGCTAATTCATTTACGATCAGACAAATTTGCTTCTCATACTAACTACTTTTCCTGGGCGCTCCTTTTTGTTTGCATACAATAGTTTTTACTAAAACCGAACAACTGTATGTTCACATGATAAATTCGTCATGTAATAAATGAGGCATGAACTGAAAAGCTATGAAGCACTGAACAGTTGCTCCGACTAACCTAACTGGGGATCGAACCCAAGACCTCACAGACAGAACGCAATTAATCAGGTTCTGAACGTTTCAAACCAAATCATAACCCCGGGATGAGATCCAACCAGGTCGAAACAACTGTCCAGTAATTTTTAGCTTTTCAGCCCATACCTCATTAACACGATGAATTCATCATCTAATCAAATCAAATCTTCCATTCCTCTCGTATAACAAGGTAGTCCCATTGTGAAAATTTCCAACCCAGTCGTAACCCCGGCAAGAGATGAGCGAGGTCCAATGCCTGCAAAAAAAAAGCTCACAAACATGGATTGTGCTATATCGTATCAATGGAAAATGTATGCTTGTTCTTGTTCTCTTCCCCTTTCTCGTTAACCACCAGCCACAAGTGTTTGGGATGGGTACCGGTGTGGTCGTATCGGGCTGACCAAATTCGTCTTTCTCCTCAGACTCACTCACTCACTCACTCACTCACTCACTCACTCACAGATAATCTGGCTCAAATTCCGCTAATCTCCTACCCGATCAGTTTAAAAATCCTCGGGCATGTGCGGATTGTGT